AAGCCGCGACTGCCGAGTACTCATGAAATTTAATATGTAAATATCTGTGTTCCGAAATGGCCCCGAAAAATTGCTGAACTGGTTCCGAACTATTCTCTTAATGATCTCGAAAAAGTCCCGAACTAGTGTCGAATAGGTCACGAGCTAGATCGCAAAAACTCGTGAACTAGTTTCGAAATGGGCTCGAAGTTTGGGATTTCTTGGGTCCCGAAGAAGTCCCACGAGAAAAGGCCAATCAGCAATCCAACAAGTTGTCTGCAGTCCCATCTGCTCAATGAAAGCAAATACGTATGTAATAAGCAATACCTTCTGAAATTGTAGACAACATGCATTTTGCCAAACTGCAGTCGTTCGAAGCCTCCGAGGTATTGCTAAGTGAAATGCCTCCCAGTTTCTGCTGGCGCCTTCGATGGCCGAAGATTATGGTGCTACAACTGATTCCGAAACCAGTAATACCTTGTCTGAGCGCCCCCTATGTAGGTATATGGTATGATGTTTCACTACCAAGTCCTCCAGACTAACCTGGCCCAGAATAAAACAAGTTCGTTATATTTTCCCGCTCTATTTAGTCGAGACTTGCAGTGGAAATTATGGGCAGTGGCTGGACAGTGTCTTAAGTGCAGCTTGGCTATCGTTACAAATACCTAAACTCCTACTCAGCTTGGCCTACCGAGGTATATTCTCCAAAAAAAGAAGTGAAGTTTGTCCCCATTAGCTTCGATAGAGATGCTAGACTTTGTTCCTGTATCGGGTTTGGACCGATCAACATAAACTCTACAACGTATGAGCCCGGGCTTGACTTTCGGGTTAGGTAGGCAGGTAGGTAGGTGTGGCTATCACAGCCACGCAGGTACACACATAGGCCAAGAGTTGAATGTCCGTTGTGATACCACGGCTAAGAGTTTTCACTCCCCCTTGTTAAACCATTTTTAAGCCTTGCCGAAACTCGTCAAGTCAGATGGCTATTTTTATGCTGGAACCTATTACTGCATACTACTATGTTTAGGACCCCGGCGAAGTCGGTCAAAGTCTGTCCGTTGTTGGTCGTTTCGTCATGGAGGATGAAATTTTCACCAAAGACCAGTTCCTTCCCCTCTCTGGCATTGAAGTCGCCAAGCACGATTTTGAGCTCATGGCGGGAGCAGCGCTCCTTGGACGCCTCGTCCTTCTCTTCCGTTGGAGCATGGGCACAGATGAGCAAGATGTTGAAGAATGTCGCTTTGATGCGAATTGTGGTTAGTCGCTCGTCTACCGGATTGAACGAGAGTACTCGGCGGCGGAGTCTCTCTCTCCCCACAAATCCAACACCGAATTTGCGCTCCTTTACATGGCAGCTGTAGTAGATATCGCAAGGGCCCAGGCATCTCTTGCCTTGCCCCGACCAGCACATTTCTTGGATGGCGGTGATGTCCGACTTAGTCCTTACGAGGACATCAAACAGCCGATTAGAGGCACCCCTGCCATTAAGGGTCCGGACATTCCAAGTGCATGCATTCAAATTGTAGTCTTTTAAACTTTTGCCGTGGTCGTCCTCAAAAGGCGGAGTCTCATCCGAGGCTTCGTTGTTCGTCTTTACTGGAAATAGTTTTTACGTGGTGGGTCTCAAACCCAGCGCACAACCAATTGCTGGGATATTCCGCTATTATTGGCCTGAATTCTAGGTATTGGTCCTCGGAAAGCTCGAACTCAAATCCTCTAGATTCTAGACTCTAGCCTACGGTTAGAGTTTCAAGGCAATATTTATAAATTTAGCCATCCAAATAAAGAGAGACTTAGGGGATTGCTAATTACAGCAGCGTTTTTTTATGGATATCATACAAACATACATACTAACATAACTCAAAGACCAGACCGTTTTGTGCTTTTGAACCAAAAACAATACCTAATAAGTTTTAAAGATTTTTTTGTATCAAAACTTTATGAAAACACTTGATGTGAGTATACGTTGGGGGTTAACTGCGCACAAGTCAAAACTTAAAACTTTTCTACATATAACGAATGTAATTGAACATTGATGCGCGCATTCGAAAAAAAACCCGTTTGTACACCAACACATCTATTTGCTCACTGTAAACATTTTCTTATTGTCATTATCAAGCGAAAGTTTCACAATGTACATATTTATTGTAGTTTCTAGGCTATTTGAATGGCACATTTGTTGCCACTTTCATTTCTTCCCGGATTTACCCCAAGCACTTTTCCTTTCCTTACTTTTACTCAAGTATGTATAAGCCTAATGCATATCAATACCCAGCGCGGCGACATCTTTACGAATTCACCCATTTATTTGCTAGTCCGCCAAGTTGGCTGGCTGCTTGCTTGTCAGTTGGTCGGTCGGTGATATTTGCCTTCTGACTTAAACGTACTTATTTGTTTATTCTATTTTTGCTATTGTCTGGCCATCAGCGCTGTAGAGCTCATTCATTTTTACGCTGAAATAGGCTTTTTCCCCGCTAGCAGGTCCCCTCGTTGCCGTCGTTTATGCACTTTTATCTGTCAGCTTACGGATGCACTCGACATAGTCGTCGTAGTACTTATCGCCGCCAATGCCAAAGTTTTTTGTTTAGCTCATTTACAGCCCCTACAATCTCTCTTTGGCCATCACTTTGTAACACATTACCACTTACGTGCATAGAATGTAAGCGCCCAAGTGTTTACCAAACAAAGTGGGGGGAAAAATGTGCAGCGAACAGAAAAAAAATTAGCAACATGCAACGTGCAACATGCATGCGAACTTACATACTATGTATGTATATGGATATACGTATTTGTGTTTGTGTTCAAATATGATGCGCCTGCATCGTCGCCAGTGGCGGTAGTTAATCTATTGCTAGCCTTGCGCTTCTTTTCGCCACAACGCTCGTAAATCGGGTCAAAAGCGTACACACATACATATGTATGTATAAGGAAAAGTGTTGTGGTAATTAAATTGTTAATGAGTGGCGTTAACGACTTTGTTGGTGGATTTTGTTGATGAAAAGTAGGATGAGTGCAAAAGTGAATTTAATTTTTGGAGAGTAGCGTGTGAAGGCGCCGAAAGGCGTAAATATGAAATGAGGCATTAATGTGATGTACATACATGCATACATATGTAAGCTACTGTATTTGGAATCAAATTTTATTACGCAAGTTATATGAGCTAATTTTGGGATTGACGTAGTATGATGTATTAAAATGTTAAATTTTTTACGTTAACTAATGGCGTTTTCTTCTCTGCAAAAAATGTTGCCTCTGCACTGCCCTCTCCTAAGTATTTGTGCGAAGAGGGCACAGACAACTTATCCTCTAATTTGTGTTGCATGCGCCTTGATGTTATGTGTCGTAACTTATGACTCAAATAAAAGGACCAAATATATGCTTACACGCGTGCTGAAGAGCCATTAGAGCTTAGGAAAAAATCTTTTAAAAGAAATTAAGTGAAAAAGTCATTCCAAATTTTAGGATTTTGCGCATAACAGAAATCTAGTTTAGCTCCACTTGGCTTCTGCTTTGTAATAACTGAATTCACGCCAAGAAAAATATGGATTACGAAATTTCAAAGATCTTCTCCGTGATAAGTTTCGACACAAAGGGGTATTTACACCGACACATAATTCACTAATTGCTTAATGTGCGTACAAACTAACAATTTTGGACTAGCTCAGGACTATTTCAGAATCAATTTAGGGCTAGCTTACGACTAGTTCAGGACCTTTCGTGATCATTTCGGTATAAGTTCAGTATTATTTGAAGACCATTTTTGGACTAGTTCTGGACAATTTCGGAACTATTTCAGGGACATTTCTGATTCAGTTCGGTATAATTTTGGGACTAATTCGGGACTATTTCAGGAAGATGTCGGGTCTAGTTTGGGATCATCCTTGCGCTAGTAAGGGACCAATAACCGCGAAGTCTGTTCTGCCTTTTCCAAATTGGATAAAGAAGCAAAGCGATTCTTTTAAGGAATTTTACGTTGATGACTCCGCTTTACTTATATGAAAAATTAATCTAAACATTAATCTGAACATTTACATAAATAATAATATGTAGGTATCATCGAAATCAGTTCCTTTCGAGAGTTGTAAGTTAAACTCTAGAAATTTTATGATTTCGTAGAAAAATTACCAGTGTAATCCTTCACCCATTACCAATTGAAGAACTCGTTGGTGAATGGTTTTGTTATTGCACACAAAATTTATTATTAAGTCTGTTGTGCAAATATAGTGCACCTACGGGTTTGTTAAATTGCGAAGTTGAGTTGTCAGAAAAGTGTCAAACAGCTTTTTCGAAGTTCGAATTTTCTCCCTTCCTAATTTTCGGGGAAAATGCTACTCCCCGGGAGCTAGTTATATGAGGATTTTTTTTTTTTATCGGGAGAAACAAATTCCCGGAGAACAAGCTGCCCGGGAGTATTAAGGATTGGGCTATTTGTCTTTTATTTCATTCCTGAGGAGACCTGGTGGTCTATGTATAATAATTTTTATTATTCTAACACCTTTGATAAGAAGAAGAAAAAGAGATAGACCCATAAAATATTGGAGCCAAAATATTAGAGAGACGAGCTAACCTGATTAAGCCCTTATTCTCTTAGTTTTTGAAATATCTGAATGAAATTTGGTACGCGACCGTCATTTTATAATGTACGAACTATTTGTCGGGAACGACAAGATCGGACCACTACAGCAAACATCAAATAAGAAAATCACACTGCATACATAGACTATCGTCGGTAGCAATGATTTTTATTTTTTAAATAATATTAAAAGAAATCATGTTTAATATTTATTTTTCTGTTTTTTATTGCTTGAAAATGATCGGTACTTCTGAGTTTTACTCTTTGCCCAGAAAAAAATTATTGATTTTTGTGTATTTTTTTTTCAAGCAATGTACACAAACGCTTCAAAATTGGAGATGCAGCTAAAGTTTAAGAAGAAGATAAAGTTGGAGATGTTGATAAAGATGAAGATGTAAAAGAAAAAGAAAATGAAAATGCAAATGAAAATTAAGTTATCCGTCTTCACCCTCAGCTTCGTCTTCGCATTCGTGATCGGCTTCGTGCCCACTTTCGCATTCGTCTTCGTCTTTGTATTCGTCTTCATATTCATATTCCTTTTCGTGCTCGTTTTCGTGTTCATCTTCTTATTCGCCCCCTTTCTCGTCTCTGTGTTCATATTCGTATTCTCGATCGCCTTCGTATGCACGTTCGCTGTCGTGTTCGTCTTTTTATTAACCTTCGTGTTTGTGTTCGCCTTCGGCCTGGTCGTCGTAATCATATTTGTCTTCGTCTTTGAATATTTCTTAGGTTTAGTCTTAAGTATTAGTCCATATCACATATTTACTTTTAACTGAGAGCGCCAGTTACTGCCGAAATTCGACCGTTTTTCTAGTATTTTAAGACCCTTGGAGAGGTTTTTTAACTTAGCATGTCGTTTAACTTATAAAGTACTAAATTACTTACCAGAAAATATCCTGTTTTGGAACTAAAATATGACCACCAATTTTTATATCTTTGAAGGCCTTTGGATGACTTTGGAAGGGCTTGGAGTTAGCCCGATACATTCCAGTTGTCGATAATTTTCAAGAACACTAAAATCCGATAGCTCAACAAAATGTTATAGATCGACTAATTTCGATAACATTTGATAAATTTCGATAACTTTGCATTTCGAGGACTGGGCAAATGTCTACAACTCCAAAATGTGTACATCTCGATATAAAGCGACAACTTGTCAAACTTTGGATTAATTATAACTCTATATTTTTCAAAATCGATCGATGAATTTCGATGACTCATTTCACTATGGTAACACGATAAAATTCGATAAGCAGTGATAACTCGATGTATATCTAAAATTCCAAAAACTTCGATTCGATAAATCTACAAATTTCAGTAAATCTATAAATATATCGACAGCTCGAGAAATTCAAAGAACTCGATGCATTAAGATAACTTGATGACTTTCGCATCCAGGGCAACGAATAGAGGTTTGGTTAAATAGTCAGAGACTTTTTTTTTGTAGACCAGTGTAATCATTAAAACTTAATATTTTTGATAAAAGTTATAGCCATTACAGTCCCACATAGAACTGAGTATTTAGACATTTCACTCTATAACTCATTCACTAAAGCAACTAAGAGCATGAAATTTCTAACTATTTTCTTTTATCCCAAAAAGAAAGTTTACCGAGGACATCATCAAGATCGGTGCCCTATGAGGTATAACTCTCATACCACTGATTGTGCAGATATAAGTTTTATTGACAATATCCACTACTCAAATGTCTAAGGTGCCTTCGACATATATGTACTTCCTATTAGCATACAATTTTTGGACGTCCTATCGAAAATTTTTGATTGATAAAGGTTTTTAGTATTGAAATCTTATACATACATATGTACGAGAGTTACATGTCCATATGTATATCTACATATGTATTTACTTCGATTTAATGATATCCAACACCTTTCGCCTATTAAATACTTTGACGTAATAGATTGTGCCAGTGGGAGTACATCACTTATGCAGCAATATTAACCATAACTTTTCCAGTGAATAAAGACAGCATCTATGCGTAACATTCATTAATCATAAATCCATTTACATATTGGACAAGGCCCATGCTGCATCATTTCAAGACCAATCAACAGACAATTAGCACCCACAACACTATATCATTTACGCAACTGCACATGCGTACATGGCATACATATATAACAAATGGAAACATTTGTAGATATGTAGATATGTACTTTGGAGTAAATTTGTATTGAATTTGGATGACTGCTTTACTACGGGTATTACTGCTGCTGCTGCTGCTGCTGCTGTTGTTGATGGTCATGTAAATCAACGCAATCAGCTGTTAAGTGTGGTCGATTTATTGCGGCATCACGCCTATTAAACATCAAAAATCAATGTACCAACAACAACTAGCGAACCATCAGCTCCATTACAAGCATTCCTCTAAAACGGGAAGAGGAAATGTAGATGAATGCCTCAGGAGAATTGCAAGAATGCGGCAGAAAAAGACTATGGAAAACAATGTGTGGGTAACTAAAAAAAATAAAGAAATAAGATGTAAGGAAGGCTAAGTTGGAATGGCAATGCCATTGTATTTATACCCAGTTGATGTATTTCTTGGTTACCAAACAAACACCGTAGTGATGAGAATTCATTGTGGATGAAGATGAAAGAAAAGACGAAGATGAAGGCAAAGATAAGAGATGATTATGAAGTTGAAAAAGGAGATGAAGAGAAGGTTATGAAGATAAAGATAAAGCTGAAGATGATAACGAGAATGAAGATGATAATAAAAGTAGTTTGAAGATTAAGGTGACGTTAAATATGGAAATATATTTTAAGATATATGCAACGATGAAAACAAAGCCTAAGATTAAGATGAATATATAGATGAAAATGAAAATGTATGTACAGGTAGATGAACATAAATATTAAGATGAAAATGGAAATGAAGATGAAGTGAAGTAGGAGATGATGGTGAAGATGAAGATTAATTTCTTCACACATTCAATTTTTTTTTTTCAATTCCCTATCGAGCCAAAAGTAGCAACTGTTGCCAAGAGTCTGAAGGTTAAAATTTTTGTTTGTGTTGTTGCTAGGTACATTAAGTCATTCACCATATCAAAATTGTAACTGCTGACCGTGTCATGAGTCCTAACATGCAAACAAGCGTTGCCTGAAGGTATTTCGTCTAGCTCTTGTCCTTCACAAGACTAACCCCCTTTGCTGCTTTCTCTAAGCTGCAAAAAGCTGCGTCATTCCCTGGTGTTGATACTAACGACGTGAATACAATTAAGTAGGCAGCAGTATCGTTATTTTAATGTACACATCATTTTTACGAGATAGGGTTTGGGGCACCTTCCAAAAATTTTTCCTCCTGCCGAAAGAGGTGTTGTACCAAACTTTACGGTTCTAAGTGTAAAATTAGAGGATTCTCATGTTGCTCATATTTTACTCTAGAAGCAGTGCGTACAATGTACATACTATATTATGGTGATTTCGTTTCTAGCAAAAAATGTCGCCTTTTGATTGTCCCTTTCTCTTTTCGTGTTCGATTCTAAATTAAAGGAAAACGGTGAGCAAATTTTTTGTTCGTTTCCTAAGATGTCACACTCTTGTATGGCAAAAAAGGCACATTCTCTGCCCTGTGAAGCTTTGTCAGGGGGGATCGTTGCCCTGAAAATTAGATGGTTGTTTAAAACGACAATATTATGAAATGCGTCAGCTAGACAAGGAAAAGAAGGCAAAAACATGCTGTAACATCAAAAAAAATTTGCACCGGGGAAGAGCAAAATTTTTTGGCAGAAACGAAATCACCATTAAACAAACAAATGTTTAAGAAACCTAAGAACATTTCGAATCCAATTTATGTAAAAAAATATCACCAGCTCTAGTTGTCATGGCAACAGTAGGTTTTTATAAAAATTACCAATATTTTTGCCAGTTTCACAGCGATACAGTAGAACATTTCAAGGTCATTGAGCTGTCTGTATTGCTTACAATTTAATGTGGGTATAGATATTACCAATATTAAAACTAAAAAAGCTTAGGGGGTGTCCCGTTCTCTAGCATGACATTTTTTACCCCTTTACAAAAGTTGGACCACTCTAATATACATATGGTGACGTTACGATTCAGATTGGCTGCTCCTCGTATTACACTTTCCAATATCAGAAGCCAAACGGAAACTTCGGAACTTTTTTGATCTCGAATTCAGTGCAAAGGTTCTTCCGAATTGGTATGGAGCTATCAATTTTAGATTGGCTTATCTTAAGATCTCACATAGACCAATCGTTGGTCCCTTGGTTTTTGTTGTTCGTATTCGTTTTTCGTGGATACCAAATTTAGGTATGGCAACTTGAAGGCAGCTTCTCCTCATTGCTACCAAAAACGGCTGAAGAATTGACAAAATTTTTGCATGTCGATTTGCTTATTTACAGCCTTTTCGAGGATTTAGCGAACTGTGAAAATCTGGTCAATGGTAGGCCTGAAACCACAATGATATGGCTTAAGAGTGGCTATCGTTTAGTACCTTCCGAGAAAAATAAATTAGACTGGTCCTGCGATAGTTGCGCTCAAAATCTGGTGCATGTAACCAACCAAAACTTTGGCACTGGTTATGAACGGCTTTGTCCGTATACTGCCAGCTTATATTACATAGCTTTTATAAGGACTCTTTATATACATTTTATATGAATGTTCCTAGAGCAGCCCCCAGGGGGTTCCGCGTAAGTGCAACTACAGGCTTGACAATCTCGGCGTACCCAGTCAAAGGCTACCAGTCCTGAGTCGGTGGAGGCTCAACTGATAGAAGTCTATGGCTTTCGAAAATCTTGCCAGAGTCTTAAACCCAGTACCACGGGGAACAGATGTTTCGGAGTGTGTTCGCCGGCTAGATTGGCAATACTTTCTGTGCCTGTGTGAGTTGCACAGGTTGAGCGAGTCGGGCGAGTCTGGCTAGTTGAGCTGGTCTGGCTGGTCTGGCTGGCGAGCATAACTCCGGTTGGTATTTCTGCTCCTCTATAAAACTGTGCATATGCGAAACAGGAGACCTCCGGTTTCTATAGAATCCATTGTAGACGATGCCAAGGCTTCTGACGGCTGTCATCCAATCAATGCTTAGTAAGAAGCGCTACGAGCTTGGCGACATCAGATGAAGGTATTCCTAAGAAGTTGGGTGTTCTTATAGGGCTTTACACGGACCTAAACGGCAGCCTGACGCCATGCTTCACCTGTGATCTGATTTCTTAAGATTATGGGGAAACATTTTCTTAGACATAGGTACATGTGTATATATTTCCGATTGGTCCTCGTCAACCACTTCGAACTAACAACTAAGTGCATTAAAAATAGTTCTACACTGCTAAAGGCCATTTTAACGACTTACCGACTTGACCGACGAATCAGTGAAGATAAAGTTAACAGGCAGTCGGGAAAAGGGCCCTTAAACAGCTTTAACTTTGTTGTGAAGGAGCCAGAGCTGTAATAGCGACCCGGCTGTTCGTAATAATGGCGGTGTTGTCGTAAATACTCGCAAAGTCAATCAGATGAGTTTATCTTATTAATTCCTGCGATTCAAAGAAAACACCTTCTCTACTACGGTGTTTCACAATAGAGACATCGGTACGTATCTAGGCGAAGAAAACCCCCGAAGCACCTATAGAATTTTATTACAGACTGTACACTTCGCATATAATCGGTCTCCATTATGTGGAGAAGAAGTTCCATTTAAAAAAAAAAACAAAAACAATGTTC